TATACTACACGTACAAAACCTAGGGACATGTCAAGATATGGAAATAATAAAGAAAACGTGTAAAAGGCAGCCAAAACAAGATTTTATTACCATAAATCTCAGATCGTGTTTGATATTTTCCAATCCCAATTGATCACGTTTCTTCCTCATATGGTAACCCAATTTGGGTCACCAATCCCAACAAGCAGTCTGCTGCCGCCGACAGAAAAGCTAAGAAAAAATTAGGTTTATGTTTGTGGTAGATTAATAATTTAATTCTATTGCTTTTATTTTGGTCCACTGTTGTTTTTATTCTTCTAATTGGTGTTTGATTGGTTACTTGCGATTTGGTTCTTTAATTCTGAAGATGATGAAAGCAAGGAATTGGATTTTACTTTTTCCTTCTTGATTTAATTTACCAAGAAGTTTTTCTGGATAGTGCTCAAGTTGGAGATTGACAAGAAAGAATTGGGTTGGACAGGAGAGGTGGCGGGGACATGCACGCAGACCTTAAGGAGATAAGTAAAGTAAAATAAATAAGAAAAGGAGAGAGAGAAAGAGGGAATGAAAAGAAGATTACTGGTGGTGGGAGTGTGGTGTACGTAGTAATAGAAGAGAAAATTATAGGGTTAATTATGTCCTTTCATTTATAGTTATTTTGGTAAATAAGAAGATTATTTTAAAATGTGGTGTAACACTAAAAATTTGCGGTGACAATCAAGGGCGAATCCAGCATTTCAGTTCAGTTAGAGCGGAAACTTTGACCATTGACCGTCGACAATCAACGATCGTAATAGTCTGATCATTTATTAAAATTTGATTAAATAATATTAAAAATCATTCAATATATATGTAAATGCACTAAAATGTAAAATTTATATGTGTGTGTGTGTGTGTGTGAAAATATAATTCAATACAACCCGAAATTCTAAAAAAATATACGATACCTTACTCTGTAACTGTAAACTTAGACAACTGTATTCTACGGAGTTTCATATTTTTAAAACGTTGCAATATTGCCTCATTCTCAATTTTTTCTATAATCTATTTCTCCATGTATACCACCAAATTGTCGTTCAACTA